ACAGTAATTACCTCTGCCGACTTAGCCTGTTCATCAGGAGGCTTGTATTCAGGTGCTGTGACATATATCAGTGATGAGAGTAGCTCGTCCGTAGAAGCGAGTGATCTCACTGACATCTCTTTTTGATAGTACTTTGTGATGTTACGTATGACTGAGTTCTACGAAATATATCCAGATGCCATGTCCGGGTTCCGACGAGGCCGCTCATCAATTGACAATGTAGTTGACTTGGTGAGATATGTAGAACACCAGAAGGCCTGCAAACGGTTATCTGCTGCTCTGTTTGTTGACGTTAAAGGGGCATACAACAATGTCACCCACGAAGCCATTCTCAGCGCACTAGAAGGAGTGGGACTCGGTGGCAGGATATATACGGGGGTTCAGAGCTACCTACAGAATAGATAATTTCACGTGCAGACAGAGAATGGCCCGACACCCGAGTATTACTGCAGCCGAGGAGTCCCGCAAGGCGGAGTGCTAAGCCCGACGCTGTTCAACCTAACACTCATTGAACTAGTTGGCAAGCAACCAAGCAGTGTACGACTTTCCATTTATGCTGATGACATCTGTGTGTGGACATTAGGTGTGACTCGACTTCAACTTCGTGCTCGACTTCAGAAGGCAGCATCGGTGACATCGTACCACTTACGCAAACAAGGGCTTGAAATCGCAAGTGAGAAGTGTGCAGTCGTGGCTTTCACCAGAAAACCAATGTCCGCCTACGGCATATCAATTAACGGGCAGTTGGTGTCATGCAGCCTGAGTCACAGGTTCTTGGGAGTCGTAATCGACCGAAACCTGTCTTGTACACCCCACGTAAACTACGTGAAAAAGCAGCTGTCTGCCATTTGTCACTTATTCAGGTTTCTTGCTGCGAAAAGTTGGGGAATGTCTGTCGAGTCTATGTTACAGCTGTACAAGGTATTATTTACTGGATTCCTGCGGTATAGCCTACCTGTTATATCTAACACGTGCAAAACGAACCTGCGCACAATCCAAAATATTCAAGCCCAAGCGCTTAGGATATGCCTTGGTTTACCCCGCTGCGCATCGACAGCTGAAACAATTGCCATTGCACAAAACTCCTCGATCATGACGTACATCACCATTGAAACGATGCGTACGTACCTCAGGCAACATGCTAGGAATCCTTCCCACCACTTGGCAACCCTCGCTACTGAGAGGCCCCGCACGAAATTCAGTGCAATTGTCTGTGCTCATCGTGCGTCGTTTACGTCAGGTTTTACGCCTGCTGAGAAACTGGTGTATCCTCCGTGGTGCCTGACACTTCCACAAGTACGTGTTCCAATTCCAGGAATACAGAAAAAATCAAATTTGCCTTCATCAGCCCTAAAACCATTGAGCTTGAGCTATCTGCAAGAAATGTACAACAACCACGTGCACATATACACCGATGGTTCAACCACAGCATCTGGTTCTGGTGGTGCGGTGGTGATTCCAGCTAGAGAAATCACTCTGCGAATCAAACTGTCACATGTCACTACGTCCACAGCGGCAGAACTTGCGGCTTTGCGTGGCGCCCTAGAGTACATCAAGTCCCAAAGACCGAGTAAATGGGCTGTGTTTTCCGACTCAAAACCAGCCCTACAGAACATGCAGTCAGTCCTTCGACGAGGTTGCCATGAACAATTAACTTACGAAGTTGTCAAGCTTGTTCACCACGTCACAGAAACAGGCCACGAGGTCAAGTTTAAGTGGCTTCATGGCCATTGTGGGATCAGTGGCAATGATTCCGCAGACAACGCGGCTCGCACATCGCACCAAGAAGAACACGCCCTTCCGATTCCTTTGTCATGGACTGACGCTGCAAAGAAACTTCGTCATCTGGCACGTAGTCTCAGTCTGCAGGAGTGGAACACCCTGAGCATAAGACATGCGAGACTATACCAAATAAACCCTCGACTGGAACTTCGACCTCCATCCGGACTTCGTCGAGGTGAAGCTTCACTTCTTTGTCGCCTTTGGTTAGGGGTTGCCTTCACAAAAGCATATAGAGCCCTCATCGGATTGAACACAATGCGGAATGCGACGTCTGCTGCACCAAAGAAGACATCGACCATCTGATATGCCATTGCCCTCAATTTGCCTCTGAAAGACAGAAGCTTTCGGACGCATTGCGACAATTGGACGATCGGCCACTCTCTGTCGGCCACTCTACTGGAACACCGTCATCGACTTTCGTCGGCTCAAAAAGCAATCAAAACTGTCTTGTGCTTTTTGAGGACTACAGGCTTATGTGACCACCTTTAACTTTTGTGTAGTGCATCCGCTGCATACGCGCCAGCCGATTGACTGACAATCCTTCTTTTTTCTCTCTCTCTTTCTTTTCTCTTTCCTCCCTCTCTCTCATCTTTATGCCCCCTTCCTATTCCCCCAGCGTAGGGTAGCGAACCGGGCATGTGCCTGGTTAACCTCCCTGCCTTCCCTCTTGTTGTTTATCCCCCTACGTATGACTGGAGCCACGAAAGATGAGTCCGCCAATGATGACTCAGCAGTACGAAGTAAGCGCCACTTTTCGAGAGCGTGACCCGTGATTTTTGTTCATCTCTGTCTGTAAGTGATGGCATTATCCCATAGCTCTACAGGCTTTGCCTTGCAAAGCGTTTCCTCCATGAGGCTCAAGAAGTGTTTCCATATGAAGTTCTCTGTAATTCAAACCCCTTCCGCTCGTTCCCACAGAGAAAAGGCCTCATGTGGCGTACGTGGTCTTCATCGCTCTTCCATTTGTTTTTGGTACATGCAAATTTGTAGAAATCGAGCCATGCATCAGTGCTTGAACGACCGTCAAACATGTCCGGCCAAACTTCTTTCTTGTCTCTTACATTTGCAACCGACACAAGAAGTTGTAAGAGCTGCTGCTGTTGTGCCATATATAGCTTCTGTACTTTGAGTATAGCGTTAAGGGCACTTTCACTGCTAGTATCAGCGAGACTTCTTGGTGTTCACAATGTACGTCCCGGAGGAGCTGTTGCCGAATGAGACGCCAAATCTTCAAGAGTCATGTTCACCGACACGCTACCTTGAGCGACGAGGCCATCCAGAGTAGCACCGGTGATATCGGCGATCATCTCCAGAGGACTCGGAGTTGTAGTGGCTTCCTCCAGCTCCACATATCTCTGACCCTCTGATCGGAAGCTCACGACGAGGGGTCGCCCTTGACGACGAGTGAAGTCAAACTTGATATTGATTTGCAGACTCCTGACCTCGACTGCACCAAAGTAAAGTTTCATGTAGACAATACGACGGCATCGGTTGTTGTTGTTGTTGTTGTTGTTGTTGATGTTGTTTTCCTCTGCATATGGCTTGTACCCAAAGGAGGAAATTGGCCGCTTATAAGGTGAATTGGCCCGATACTTTCTGCATTGCTTCATTCCTAAAGAAACTTTAAATATTTATTATGATTTATTTATTCATTCTTTCCTGGCCTCGTCTTCTTCGTCCTTTGGTCGCCCCTTGCTGGTGGTAGCGATGTGAATCACTACCTATAAATAATTGAGCCTTTTGAAATTAAAGCGAATTGCCTAATGGAACGCGGATGCATCCAAGCACTGTCTCAGTTTACAACCTGACTGTCCGTATTATCAGTGAAAAACCAAAGGTGTATCCTCTAATGCAAAAATTGGTTGTCGAGGCGGAAGTGCCACCACGTCGGTGTGATCTCGAGGGATGCGAATATCGTCGTCACCTAATGAGGTTCTCATAAAGACACACGTAACGACAATCTGTGGCGTCACTGTGTTGTCACTATAATGTTGCATACCAGGACGTCGCGTGAATAAGACATCGCATGACAATGTCTCTTGGTTAAAGGTGGGCTGATCAAGAAGGCAGTATTAAAGAGGATCAAGGTGCAGAAAACCCGCTACGCTACCGTTTCTGCAGGCAGGGCAAAACTACATTTGCAGAAAACTATCACAGGAGACCGGGAGTGGATCCATAGCCCAACTGAGAAAAAACACACCTCTCGCTTACAGGTCATGTCCTGTAAACGCACGGGGGACATTAAATTTTCATAGCAACTTGTGCAGACCTTCGGATGTTCCAAACAGTTTCCAAATGCCAGTGAGAAAGCAAACAAATATTATCACCAAACACACTAAGAAAACGTTGCGATTTTCACCGAGAAGTGCGAAGAAAGCGTGAATTTATTGTATTTTAAATACCTTCTTATCACTTTTTTTATAATATAAAGCCGCTCATATACAAAATGAGTAGATACTATCTTTAATATATGCTGTCAATACGTAGAGTACCTAAATACACAGAAAACATGCAACTATGAGCAGAAGCATTTATTCAGTTTAATATTGTCTTCACTCGCTTGAATGCACAATAACGATTACATGATTATTGCTACATCAACACTCAACTACTTAAATGTGTCGACAAACACACTGTTACTTACCATAAAGATCACTAAAATATTTATAGCTGTTGGAGAACTGCTAATTAGTACAAAAGTGTGACAGGCGACTGGAAAACTATACAAGTGACTCGGCGACAAAAAAAAAAATCACAAAAGGCACCTGTTATACGCGGAATCGGCAACTCTGGTTGGACGGATGGCGTTTGATATTTCGTACCACAGAGCTATTCCATTCGACATATGCTGATGTAGATGCTACTGCAGGCTGTGAAAATGTGAGTGTCGTTATCAGATTTATTATGTGGTTGTGTTGTATAAAATATGTATAGAGCCCACAAATAGACACTTTACGTTTAGAAAAATTACTTTGCCCTTGCAGCTATTGTAGCCCTAATTTTTTATAGTCATTGCGCTTGGCTTCTACAATGAATCCGTTGAGAAGTTTTAACATGATATATCAAGTAAAACAATTCGTCGGTACTCCGCAGCATCGCCTAAATTAATTTTGAATTGAGCTTTCGCTTTTTTGGTAAAAAAAAACACACAAAAGCGCTTGACGTAGACTACTCTTTTACCTAACATGCAATGTTGTTTTTAATCGATGCATTTGCAGTGCACATCAGGTGGAGACGATTGCCCTCTAGGCTGTTTCTGTGGCGTGCTCGGGCACAACACTACAGGTCATTGCTACATGTTTACGGGCAACTTTCCTGAGTATGAACCAGTTGTGCTGCCTTGAAGAGGCAACCTACGTATTGGATGAATAACACAGGTGGACAAGAATTCTGCAGAACTTCGTTCGCTTAGGCAAAGCTAAATAAAATCATGAACTACCAACGCATTCATTGCATTGGAGCGAGTGAATAGGAAAACATGACGGCAGACAAGACAAATGCTTACTGACAGCACAAAAGCTTTTGTTCGCAGAACACAATTGCACTACAATGTGTACGCACGTCTGGTGAGGGTTCAAAATGCACAAAATATAAAATTGGAGTTTAATACAAGAAAAACACATTATAACTGGTGCAAATCACAGACACCACATATGAAAAATGCCCCTCTATTTTATTTGAAAGCAAGTTTATTTGTGTGTTTAAAAGCATCTGGGAGTCATGATAATACTTAGTTAAGCTTGGCAGACAGTGAATCTATTTACGTAGAAAGCACCCCCGGGGTTTGAGATTGTATCCGTTTCCTGTCCACAAGGTATGTGATTCAGTCACAATCCGTTTCAAAAGAGTATGCACCACAAAAATTAAATAAATCTCTTCCCACTACCACTCCCATAAAGAAGGCGAATGTAAGCCTAAGAAATAGTTGTCGACTTCAGTGTAGCCGAAACACCATTCTTTACGTGCTATCGGGAACAGAATCTGAGCATTTAGGAGAAAAAAAGAAGAACCTTATAGCAAGCAGCGTTCCGATGCAACGTTGTGACGAAATTTGCAAAGCGCAAGCACGCTTCCCTGCATACCCGGTTTCAGATGGGGCCCCACAAATATTGGTAGATGCCACGTAGAGTGGGAAAATATGATATGCGCAGAACGGATGGAAAATGTTGATATGTCCCTTTAAACTCAGCACTGCGTTACGAGGTGGGGGTAAATGGTGCCGTACATGACTTCCGTGTCATGATATTATGTTTGTATGTGTCGCTTACCTTCATCGTATATTCACGTTACGTGATACCAAATCTAGTATATCTAGAGCTAGCTAAACGGCCGTGAGCACGCTACGAGCGTGGTAGGTTGTCATGTTCTAACATGACACGCGTGTCAGGATTATCATGTTTACAACAATCATATATTTCGCCATCTGTTGACGTCACGTAACACCAAATTTTGCATATGTGGAACAAGCAAAACGGCCGCGAGTGCACCATCAAGGGCCCCATATACTCCACTGTAGCGTTGAACCGTGCGCACGCTGAGCACAGCGACGCTACGTTAGCAAAACGCGAGCATTCTATAGTCTGACGCCAGGTGCGACCACCGTCCATCGGCACAGCCTGACGCCGACCGGCGCGAAATGCGACATTGTGCATTTCGCGCTGATGCGTTACCCTGACAACACTGCGTCTCCCTCTTTTCGTGATGGAGGGATGCCAGACGCGCTGAAACGCGCATGCGTCAAAGCAACGCAGCGTAGTGCGCGCCTGCGAGTATATAACAACACCAGCGCCTTGCGTGGCAACGCCGGCGAGCACGTGCACCGCGTCACGTTGAAATGTATTGGCGCCTTGGCTCTGGCGTGTAGTCATGTTCTCACATGACACGCATCTCACAATTATCATGTTTGCACCAATCACATACCTTCGTTATCCATTGGCGTCACGCAATATCGAATTTGGCATATGTGAAGCTAGCGAAACGGCCACGAGCGCATCATGAGCGTAGCATGTAGTCATGTTGTTACATGAAACGCATCTCATCATTGTTATGTTTGCACCAGTCATATACCTTCCCCATATATTAACGTACTGTAACACCAAATTTGGTACATGTGACGCTAGCAAAACGGCCGTGAGCACATCATGAGCATGACATGTAGTCATGTTGTTACATGACACGCATGTCATGATTTTCATGTTAGGGTCTGTCAACTGTGTTGGCCATGCAATCATACAATACCATACCAGTTTTGCAACATGCCATTTGAACGAAACTACCGCAAGAGCTGCTTAACCATGACATTCATGACATACATGTCATAATTTTCATGTCATGACGAGTCAAACATGTTCTTCATACAGTCATTTTATGCCATACCAAGTTTCGTATCAAAGCCATTATCCAAACGCTCTGGAGAGCAAAAAAAAAATAAAATCGGCAGATCACTATTACCATGAGAATCCACGTTATGCAAAGCATGCGGAGGGAAGGTGACCATGTCGCAATTTTTTTATTGAGTGACACGTAATGAAACGACGCTAAATATATGTGCAGATGCTGCACGCACATACATATGCTGAAAAGTTGCCGATGTTTATATAACCAGTTGTTTGCACTTGTGCAATGATGCCAACTGGAACATGCGCATTAGACACACCGGAAACTGATATGAAGCGCTGATTCTCGCGAGGATGCTGGCTCTGAATACTGCTATGTAAATCAACTTCAGCGCTTGAGGACTAAGCACAATTGGTGTTAACTCGACGTGACGGCTGTATCAAAGGAATACACAAGTAATGTTAATAAAATCGGGTAGGCAGCACTGCAGCCATATTGACGTGTCACGAAGATTAGCGTCAATACGAAAAGTAGTTCCGACACCTGGTGTAGCTCTTTGGTAAAATGCTTTATTGCCACGCAGAAGGCTTGGGTTTGATTTCACTTGGAAGCCTGACACATTCTTTGCATTGGTCGGGTCGATCCTATACCAATATCGGGTATTTACTTAACGTTCGCGCGTTAAAATTGCCCATGTGTGTTCTCGTCGTTTCTGGGTAGATACCAAGTGTCAATCACCTGTGGCACATACCCGCATACAAGCGGCACATACCCGCCCCACGTACCCGCCCCTGGGTATGTGCCACTGTGTGGCCGCAAGTGTCTGACGACGTACGTGACGGGAATGTGACTATAGTCATGTCTTGGCGAGCGCGTCATATTCGTCAAACCATTTTACGCTGCCCTGCTAATTTGGTTCACACCAAGTTGAGGCGATGACCACGAGAGCACCCAAACGTAAGCGGCTAGATAGATAGATAGATAGATAGATAGATAGATAGATAGATAGATAGATAGATAGATAGATAGATAGATAGATCGATAGATAGATAGATAGATAGATAGATAGATAGATAGATAGATAGATAGATAGATAGATAGATAGATAGATAGACACGCTCGAAGTCACCGAAGCTCACTAAGAAATGCTTCGGATTAAATATATATCAAAGCACTGCATGATGAACCCCGCCCGAGGTTTCACGTGTGAAAGCGCTACTTCCGTGCTCTTTTTATTTTCTACGCGACTGCACTTGTTGTTTGATGCTATCGCGTATACTAACGTATAATCAATTTCGTACGCTCTTTCTCTGTGTGATGGTTGTAGAGTTGGGCAACAATTATCATGTCACCTAATATCATCTTTTTTTTTCTGAACAGACCCATAAAGTTTTCGAAACACCCTTCATGTCGGTCGAAAACAAACGCCAGACCTGCGTGGAAGGCGCAGCCAGTCAGCGAAAGCAAAAAGAGCGCCCTTTCAGAGTCTTTTCTAAACACTCATTGGGCAACTGCTGCAAGCGCCCTTACTTGATGCCCACTATCGCATTAGTATACAAAACTTTTAAGGTAGTAGGCCGCAATTCGGTATGCTATTTTTCATCATTCTTCTGAGAAGCATGGTATTCGATAAACTATTGCGAGTAATATTGTGTCAATTGTTCACGCAGTGGCTGACAACGATGAGGAATTATGCCTGAAGTGGGGTATACGCCGCAGCTAATAGCTGAACAAAACAAGCTTTTCGATATTGAGCCAATGGATGATTAACTCGTGACGCCATTCACATTGTGCGACGACTGGTTCTTCTTTCTCGGTTTCAAGACGCTTTATGAGTAGTAATAATGCGATTGCTTCGCCGTAATCAAGTCTGCCTAAGGCAAGTTTGCCAAGTCCCGAGCACCGGCGTTGTTGAGTGGCAAGATACTGGGCAGGCACCCAGCGGATCTGGGTTCATGACCCACTGTGTCACTGGTACTATGTATTTGTTTATTTTGCACGATATTGTTACGGACTCCAGGGGCGGTGGTGGTGATGGACAACTATGGTCCTGCGTGAGACCTGAGTTGTGATCTCATAACTTTCGCTGTAAAAAAATGGCAGCATATCCACGGAGTGAATGATGGAGAGTAGGGCGAAACATTCGTCCGTCCATTCGTTCTTGCTTACGCCCGTCTATGCGTCCGTCTGTGTACCGTCCGTGCGTCCATCCGCCCATCCGTGCATGCGTCTGTTCGCGGGCCCGTCCCTGCGTTCGTCCATGCATCTATCCCTACGTCCGTTCATGCGTCCATCCATGCATCTGTCTGTGTGTCCGTTCGTCCATCTATTCAACACTCCAAGTACCCCCATCTCGCATCTTTTCATCATATATTCCCCATATAGAAGCACCGCCATCCAGAAGACATTTCAAGGACTAAACGAGAGGTGGCTCACGCACACTTTCTTAGGCCTTCCGCTTCGCGTCTACTTCGCACCTTTAACCAGCCTGAGTTCATGGTATATACTAGTTCACTGTATTCATGGCACTGCGGCCCAACGCTCGCTAGACCTTTCTAAAACCAAGGAGGTTACGCCCAGCGAGTATAACGTAGCAACCTTTTCCTGTCAGATAGTGCTCAATGTACATGCCAGTGGCTGCTAATGGGAAATGAGAGACAGGAGAATTCGACTTTTACTTTCTTACGGCTTGCGCTTCATATCTACTTCCCACCTTTAACCACCTCGAGTTCATTTATAGTATATACTAGTTCATTGCATTCTAGGCAATGCGGCTCAACGCTCGCTAAACCTTTCTAAAACTAAGGAGGTTACACCCTGCGAGTATAACGTAGCAACCCTTTCTTGTCAGATAGTGCTCAACGTACATGCCAATGGCTGCTAATGGGGATCGCAGCGTGTGCGTTAACTAAAAGCCGAATGCTCCTGTCTCTCATTACCCATTAGCAGCCATTGGCATGTACGTTGAGCACTATTTTTTATTGTTCAACCACGCACAGAAGAGATCTCTCACCGGCACTACCTTGGAGGTAAAAATGTTATACTCGTTACATACTACAACGGCTACGAGAGACGAACAGGTGTCGCTATAAAGAGTTTCGCCCCTAAA